TCTTCTAATAATTAAAATAATAATAGCTTCCATTTGTTTGTGCTTTCAATGGGGCAGAATTTCCTTAGTGTCTTACAGACTTCACATTAATTATTCACAACAAATCTTAATGTGGTAAGACTGTCTCTATTTCATAGGTCCAACAACTGAGGACACTGAGGGAGTAAGTAATTTGCCCTCACAGCTGGTGTTCTGGCTTGGATATGAGGTTTCCCCCCAAAACCTCACATGAGAGACCATGCAAGAAGGTTTAGAAGAGAAATGATTGTGTTGTGAGAGTCTTAACCCAATCAGCAAATGAATACTCTGATAGGAATTAACTGAGTGGTAAGTGAAGTGGTAGGATGTGGCTGGAAAAGGTAGGAATTCAGGGCATGGCTTTGGGTTATACATTTGTATCTAGCAAGGGGAGACCTCTCACTCTCTGCTTCCTGATCACCATGATATAAGATGCTTCCCTCTACCACACTCTCCTACCATGATGTTCAGCTCACCTGGAGGAATGCAGCTGGCCTTCTGTGGGCTAAGACCTCTGAAACTGTGAGCCCCTAAATAAACCTTTCCTCYCCTACAAGTGTTCTSGTTAGGTCTTTTGAGTCACAGCAGTRAAAAAGCTGACTAAAACAGCTGGTAAATGATAGAACCCAAGTTGGACCTCAGGCAGGTCTGGCTAATTCCAAAACTGTACTCTGAATTTATATGCTGGTCTCCCATGCTTTGGCACTGTTAGGGAGAGAAACGTTGTCATCTACAGTGCCCCCAGACACCTGGCAAATCCCTTTTATTGTGTCCTGAGGAAGAAAATCACTGATTCTTGAAGTTTTTCCTTGCTCAAGTCAGCATTCGGTCATCCAAAGATTACAAATCATTGCCCCTGGCAATGAATGAATCCTCCTCTAGGACCTTACAGGAACCCCACATTCCTCTCTCCATCTAAAGTCCAAAAGCACATACACAAATAAATTTCCCAGGACCTGTCCTGATATTTTAGAGTTTCTCAAAGTATCCTGTCAAAGCAAAGCCTGAATAGTATACATAGGTCCTCATCTAGAAACTATTAAAATTAAAACGTGTGTGTGTGTGTGTGTGTGTGTGTGTGTGTGTTAGGCAACATTTCTTCTAAAATCCCAAGTTCCTAAACAATTAAAACACATTTTTACCTTCTTTTGCATCTCCCAAAATATTCAGGATGCTGTATACTGCCAGCAGTTAATAAAAGTTCCTAAATATAAAGTACAATGAATGCATGCAGTATTTGCTATGTAGATTTGGCCAATGTTTAAAGCAAAAATAAAACCAGTAAAGCACATGTACAATTTAGAATGGTTTTTTTCCTCTCATTTATGTTTTATRTTCTCCAGGGCCTGTGGTAATGCAAGGGCATATTTGGCATGGCTAAGGGAGATATTCAAAATAATTGAAAAAAGTGCTTTAAATGTCAATGTTTATTTCCTGTATTAAATTCAAAATACATTCCACACAGTCCCATGCCAGCTGAACATATATGTTGAAAGTTGTATATATTTTTTAAAAAAATAACCCAAGATCACAGCAGTGACACCAAGGGTTTTTCTATGCCATATACTAAAGGCTTGAGACTTTAGGCTATGTTGTATTAAAAAAAAAAAAAA